AACTGGTTTATCCTATCAAGCTTAGGACAAATTAGTTTGGACTAGGCTATACTAGTTAATCCTATCGCGTATAGGAAGAACTAGTTTAGCCTAGGCAAAACTATTTTATCCTGAAATCGGGTTTGGCCGGTAACATATATATTACTCAGACATTTGCGAACCGATTTTATTGGAAAGGATGTACCTTAGTAGTGGTTTCATTCAAATTTGAAGAAAATATTGCACCTCTAAAGGTGGCAAATTTGGGGATGAATCCGTTTGTAGGATGTCATCCACTTTCCGTTAACCGATTCTAATAAAACTTGGCAAATAAATGTAATTTCACAAACATTTGAGGTCGGCTTTATTGATAAAAATAGTTATGTTTATTTATTTTATTTACATGGACGTGGAGATCATGGGTATCTGAAACTACATTCAACGCCCTTTACTTCTTACGTGTCCACTATAAAAATGATAAAAATTTTCATTTAATTTCTTTTATATTATATATTTTTTATTTTATAATTAGAGATAATAAACAATTTTATTATAATATTTTAAATGGGTGAATGCCTAGCCTATAAATATGGAATACTAATTTTCAACTAGTCTCGAAAGTCACGTTTTCCCCGGAGCATTCGGGATCGCATCGAGTATCGAAATTATTTCCCGGGACGCGGAAATACTGACTGAAAACGTTTCTATTACTTTCCTATATAGTTAGTTAGCTATCACTCCAGGTCGAAGTACAAGAAGAATAAAACAAATTTTTTTTATAAAACCATGTACGGAACGAACCAGTCGTGCGCCTAGTGGTAAGCGACAGGTCTGTCCATAACAGTGTCACGCAGAACTTTAAATCACAAAAATCTGAGGGGTACTGCCACTGCGCCCATCACTCTAAGACATAAGCTGTCTAGTCGCATGTGCCTGTAATTTCACCGGCACCCTTACCTTCAATACCGGAATACGTATTTGCTCACATTACTGTTTGGCGGCAGAAATAACTAAGGTGACAGTACTTCCCTGGACGAACTCTTTCACAAGGAGCTCTACTGCTACCAATCAATAATTTATAAGACGTGTGTTGACTTAGGGTCGTATTCTAGAACTCTACTCAGTGCTCAAGTCAGGATTTGAATATGGTTTAAAGCAATCGAAAACAGCTCAAGTCCCTGCCATTAGGGTCGTATTTCCAGAGCTTCAAATCATACTCAGATCCTGACTTGAGCATTGAGTAGAGTTCTGGAATACGACTCTTAATGTTTTAGTTATGATTTGCGATCTATTATTATAACTCTCACCCGTGGTCAAAGTTTTGTCTATTTATACATAGGAATTTGATTTTGTCATCGCCAGTTCCGATTATAGAAAACTTGAATAAGTACTTATATTTTTTCGTACTTTAAAAACGTTTTAAAGAATATCGTCGGGCAGTTATGAAGTACTCGTAGAGCCAAAGATGACAGCTTTTATCAGTAGTGAAGTTGGAAAAAGCTAGAATCAATCACTGTTACAATGTAACCATAAAGTAATGTCTGACGCGCCGGTCATAAGGTAATAAGATGGATTCTCAACCAATTGCTTTAAGGTTTGTTTTGAATCGATCCGGGTTCGAGACGGGTGGCGGGCTTGAGGGACGACTGTAATCGTTATTCAGACTCGTCGGCTATTTCACGAAGCAAGCGCGCATGCGCGGTTTACCGCGCTTTTATAGGTCAGGGCCTCTCAGTCTGCACTGGAACCCGGCGACTGGGATATACTTAGAACATACGCCATTTTTTCACATCTGCAAATCCCACTCCGGCATAACACCAAAAGTACGCAATGCCCCTAAAGTGCGACACTGTGAAACTTACCGTCGCGAAACGCGCCGACTGCCTTGAAGTTTTCCTTCCGCGAGCTAAAAACAATGCCGGCGAAACCGGCGTTAAAATAAGTGGCTCCAACAAATAAAGGGATTGTTAACTGATTTCATACAAAGACTGCGACAACGTGCCTTCGTGGCATACAACAAAGTAAAACAAAGCTTTTCACATTTTTTACATCGAGCGGTTTTAGACACTGAATTACGTGATAAAATTGTGACTGTGCCTACATTTGTTCGTGGTGATGAGTCACGGGCTTAGTCGTATTTCTGTGAAGTAGCATCGCAACATTTTGTAGACGGGAGCGTAATATTTTGTAAGAATCTTTTATATTAACGATTGGCAGCGATCTCCTGCACATTTACTTTTTCTTGCCGGAGTCGACGGCGCCGGTCTGCCTTGCTGGCTCGCATTAGAAATTCATTAGCTCACGACATCAGAGTTCCCCTTCGTTGGAAAAGGGATACCTATTTATATTTATGTTTTAGCAGTCAGTTTCGAACCATGTGACTACTCGTTAAATCGTTAGACCACGTTTATGTTGCAATAGGGTAAAATGGAAAACGTTTTAGTTAAACATTTATGGAAGCTGATCGCCAAGGTCGTGCGTGTCACGTCACCTCTTATAAAATAAACGCGAGTGGCCGTGTGTGCAAAATGTAAACACTCGCCGGCGAATGCACCGAAAAAAACTCGTGGCTCTGATGTCACCGTGCAAACATTAGAGCGTATATCTTAAATTTAGATGCGTCCAGTGAATCTATCGAAATGGTTCATTGAGCGACGGGAGGGCGACGCGAGCGGAGCGCCGCGAGCGAACGAGCACGAACGACGAGGTAACGTAGGCCTCGGCGCCACTGACGAGCACGGAGCACGCTCGGCGGTGAGGCGCCTTACCGCCGGTGTTGACCTTGCAGCGTCATGGGCGCCGCGTCACGCCGCGCCAATAGATTATTTTCGTCGCATTTTGGCAGCTCTCCTTCCCTCGTGCGCTCATACACCATATTATCGCATCGCACTGTTCGAACTGTACGTGTTGTTAGTGATTACTAATAGTAACGCGCTTTTCTATTTTGCAGATTGCGACAAACACTTGCGGCGCGGCTCGCGGAGATCGACGACATTGTTTCGGAATTCGACCGCGTGTCGGAGAGAATCGACGAGCTTCGACAGCAGATCGAAGTGTCTATTGCCAAAGTGAAGACCTTCTACGTTTTCGGCGAAGACGAAACTGAAAACGTCCGGGAGCTTGCGAAGGAAGTTTCAGACTTAGTGGAGCGAACGAAAAACTTCACAGACGAGAGTCGAAAGCGCTACGGTGGCTCTGCGCCGGCAGACGTAGCGCAGGAACTATCCGCATTGGAACTATCCTCCGAAGCACTTGCTGCAGCCATGGAAGAGAAAGAGAGGGAGTGGAAACGTGCGCGTACGGCCCGTTCAGAGTACGCCACAGACGTCGAAGACGTGCAGGCATGGGTCCGTGCTGCAGAACTGACTGCACGCGACAGGACTCTACCACCTGAGCCTTATAGAGAGCGGCTGGTGGCGACTAGGTCAGAAGTACCTAACATAGCAGATCGCGTCGAGCGACTGACTCGCAATGCACGTGCTATCGTAGAAGGTAGTCGCGATGCCAGTGAAAGGCAATTGGTGCAGTCCACTGTGACGGCGCTCTCGGAACAGTTCGCAGCTGTATGCAGTGAATTGGAAGCGCGACAAGCCGCCGTTGAAGATGCCTGTGATGCTGTAGCTAGATTCCTAGGACTATTAGAGAAAGTCCTCCTTTGGGTAGAGACACAACGTGCTTTCCTTGCGCGGCCACTCCCATTGGCCGATTTGCAGGAGGCGCAACAGAAACAGACTGAATATGGGGTATGATAATTCACGTTTGTGTTAATATTATTATTTTTAAAGAAATGCAACTATTTACTTATATAACTATTTCAGAATGCGCTCAAGAGTTGTAAGCAGCAAGCTAAAAATCTGGCAGACATGGCTAAAGAAATAGAAGTGATTGAACGTGTCACGAGCCCAGGAGATTTGCCTTCAAGATTGGAAGCGGCCGAAAACGCTACCGTCGACGTCGAGAAAAGATTAGCGAAGACAGTCAGTACAATGTCATAGTAATTAGAATGACGCACGGACCACAATTCGAAATAATCACTAACTTGTTATATTTCAGAACGGTTTACTACAAGAGTTGGCAGAGGAATGGGAGAGATGTGAGAAAAAATTAAAAGATGCCGGCCACTGGCTGGAGGCGACAGCGCGGACCCTGGAAGCGCCACAAAACTCAAAGAAACCACTCAGGGACCGACTCGCGCTAAGGGAAAAAATAATCAACGACATTTCCACACAAAAGACCAAGATATCGTATGCGGTTGAAAAGCTAAACGTGAGTCGTTGAACGCGTCTAGGTTTTGCAGCTTCGGTCATCGAGTCGGGTCGTTGAATCATAATCATTCGACAGGTACATTTCGAGCCGGACGGCGTGGCAGCACAGTCGCGAGGGCCCGAGGCCGTGGAGGCGGCGGCGCGTGACCTCACGGCGGCGCTGGACGCGCTCGGCGCCCAGACCGGCACGCAGGCGCAGCAGCTGGCCGCAGCGCTCGCGCAGGTCGACGCCTACTGCGCCGACGTGTCGCGGCTGCGCGCGCAGCTGCTCGAGGCCGAACAGCAGCTGCGCCAAGCGACGCAGCCCAACTACAGCCCGCGCGACCCCGAGCGCGCACAACGACAGCAGCAGGTAGGCACCGAAACAGGCTACGGCGCCGCAGGGGGCAGGACGCCACGCGCTCCTGGCCCCGTGGCGGTGTCACCGCAGACGGAGTAGGTTCTAGCTAAAATTCTAGTTTTGTTTATCGCGACGTGGAGATTCTCGGGCGGGACCCGCCGGGGCCCGCACGGACACGGCTTCGCAGCACCATGTATCGTTAGTCGAATTTAGCGGCCGCTCGGAGGCCACTTGTACATTGTCACCGACCACGCATACATTTTATTTAATTTTCTTTTGTTACCTCCATCCTTCACCCTCGCCACTACTAACACGTCGATATCGATATCCTCCGTTAGGCGTGTCGAGAGAGAGTAAAATCGCTCCAGAGCAAAATTCAGGCGCGCAACGAGCGCGTCAAACTGTTAGTGCAGCGCGGCAGTCCGGACGCCGACCCGCTGAAGGACACTTAATTGGAACACCGATCGTTCACATAGCTTTAAGTCGCTCCTCTATCGCGGTCTTTTCCTACTTTATAATTTTTTAATTTAATTATAATAATATTTAAAATATCGAATACACGTACTCGACACTCGCAGCCATTCGTTTCTTTTCATAACCTCGACTTCATCGCTCCCAAGAGCTAGTCAGACCATGTCGTAAATTATGTATGTCCGTACTTCCGTATCAGGAGGTCACCCGGCGTATCGAAGAGCTGACCCGAGCCATCTACAGTCTGGACCCCTACTTCGTGATGCCGCCGCCGCCGGGCGAGTCCGCCGACGAGTCGGTGGCCACTCTGTCCATGCTCGTGTCGACGGCGGACTGCGCCCGCGCCAACCGCCGCCCGCGCTCGCCCGAGCGCCGCGAGCGTCGCCGCCCCGAGCGCGAGGCGCGCGATCAAATCTCACTCGCCGTGACCGACGCGCCGGCGCGGGCCAAGAGCCCCGGATGGGTGCTTGAGGGCACCACGTACGCCGAGATAGTAAAAGGCCAAAACTCGCGATCTAGCTCGATTGCCGAAACGAGGCAACTCAGCGCACAAAGACACCCGAGCGCTCGTAGAGAGCCCAGCCCTCGAAGGGTACAATACGAGGCTTACAAGCAAGCGCCAATGAGTCCTGAAGAGGATAGAACCAGTGAAGTGATAAGTGTGCCCGTGCAAACGCGCGTTTCTATTGAACCGATGTATGAGCCAGTGTACGATCCTAGCGATCGATATTGTCAAAAAGTTGTGTACGAAAACGTTAGTGAGAGTGTACCTTATAGGGATGACGCTAATGTTTACGTGTACCAAGAACCAGTCAGCGAAAGTAGCCCTGTGTCCCAGGAAATTCATCAATACTATGAAAATCAGCCTATATACTATCAACTGGAGTCTCGCGACTCATATATTGAAGTTACATCGCCCAAAGTCGAGGTCGAGGAACCGAAGACGCAATACATTAGCGAATTGGAGCCACCTCATAATGATGAAACAGCTCAGAGTCCGGCTGCGATTTGTCGCTCGCAAGATTTGTCATATGCTGAAATATTAGCCCTCGGCTTACGTAGACGACCTAAGACGCAAAGTGTAACAACGCTACCAAAACCGCAAGTGGCACAAGTAGAATTAATAAAAGAAGTAGTTGTCGAACAAAACGTTGAAATGTCTCCGCATATTCAACAATTCGAACCAAAAGTAGACCGCGTCGATTATTCAAAATCACGACCTGAAGAACCTGAGAGACCATATCAACGAAGTCGATCTAGGGATATGCCAAGGCAAAGGCGAGCACCTGAAAAAAGGCCAACTAAAGTCCATGACGTGCAAACTCAGAAAAAAAAGAAACTACCTAAAAAAGTTGTTGAAGTTCAAGATTTCGATGACGTTATTGAATCTGAACAAATTTCAGCACCTGTCCCCGTCCAGCCAGTTTCTGAACATAGGGAAGAACGCACAACTGAAGTTTCTAATGCTTCACCCACTACTAGGGAAATAACTAAAAAGGTTCAACATAGTTCTACAGTCGTCGAAACTGTTACTGAAACTTTTACCGCTGAAGAATCTCAATCTATCTCTGAGGCAAACGCAGATAAAAAGACCAAGAAAAAAACGAAGCATAAAAAGATTAATACTAGTGATGAAATAGAAAAAGCTCTTAAAGAAATACAAATTTCTGAGAAAAACAAAAGGAAAAAATCTAAAGAGTCCATGGATGGCGGAAAGAATGCGGATCATATTATAGAACAAACTCACGAAGAAATTGTAGAACCTGTCATACAAATTGAAGAAACACAATCAAAAGGCCTGGAAACAACAACTAAAACCAAGAAAAAGAAAGGTCATAAAGAGCAACTAAAAGAAATGACTCCTGCATTAGAAGTTGCTACACCAGACATTTTTATAAATAAGCCAGTAACTATAGAAATTGAAGAAAATATTCCCAAAAGAACTAAACAGAAAAAGAAAAAGGTTCAAAAGGAAATCAAACAAAGTATTGAACCAACAGTAGAAGACATAAATAGAGAGTTTAACAGAGAAAAATCTGATGTAGTAACAAAAACTGAAACCCATGATAGTGTGAAAGATGCCGTTACTGAAATGCCTGCAAGCACACAGCAAGTAGAAGACGTTTCCATTGCTTCTGAGGATGAAACAATTTTGAAAATTTCAGTCCCTCTCATTGATAATCAAAGCGTGGTTACTGAAAACTTTGGTGACACTGAATCTAAAGAAACGCTGGCTACTAGCACTACAGATCTTGCAGAAATAAAAATAAGCGATTCTTCTAATTCAAAGAAGAAGAAAGGTCTCAAAGATAAACCATCTCATAATAAAGCAGCTGAAATTGTTCAAGAATCTACCACTGTTAAGTCTTTAACACAGACCCGAACGGAGCCTGAAGAAGACATAACTGAGCAGAGTACAACACAATCCGAAGTAACAGATATAAATCCAGCCGCTAAGAGCAAGAAAAAGAAAAAAAATAAAAAACACGAAAAAGTTCATGAGCCAACATCGGTCGAAACTGTAAATGTCCTTATTGAGACATCAGACGCTTATGATGTGTGCGTACCGGAAATACCGGATGTTAAGGAAATTAAATGTCCAGAACATACTCAAGAAAAATGTGACGAACCTAAAGATTTTATTGAAGACGCCCATGAGAAAACTGAAGTTCCAGTAGAAATCAAGAAACACCAAGAAACAAAGGGTTCTAAGAAGAAGTCTAAATCTAAGAAGACTAAAGAGTTTGAACCTAAGGATCATGAACTTGGCGTTAAAGAAAGTGGCTTACCAGGGCATAAAGAAGATGAAAATATCGATAACGAAGTAATAGTTACGACTGAAGAGGCTCAGTTCGAAGAAGTCAAAACTCATAAAAAGAAATCTAAATCCAAAAAGGCTAAGGTTGTCGATGATGATATAGAGAAAGCTCTACGAGAAATAGAGCATTCTGAATCAACCAAAAGGAAACCAAAAGATAAAGCTTCTAAAAATAAAGAAAAACGAGGCGCTGTTTATGTGGAAGAAATTAAAACTCATAACGTAAAATCCGGTGATCAATCGCCCGAAATAGAAAAAATTGTATCGAGTAAGGAAAATATTATAACAATGGACTGGAACACTTTAATGGCAGAGGAAGAAGGCATGACCGAACCTTTGATTGAACCTATGGAACAACATCCTCCAGATGTAATTGAAACAAATCAGCAAATTGCAACTGAAGTGACAATTGTTCAGGAAACAGATAATTTGTTAAGACAAGAAATTGAAAACATAGTAAAAGAAGCTGAAATAATTAAAGCTGGCTTAGAAACTCCAAAAGTCGCCGAAGCCACTGAAGTACATAATAGTCAAGAGGCTTCAAGTGTCGAAACCCCAACTACTTTTAGTCCTGGGGAACAAAATAATAATGACAAATTCTTCTCTACGGATACTGTCAAAGAAGGCTCTATTAATATAGTCGAAGAAGTAACACGTTATGAACCCATCGAAAAAGACATTGAGACACATACAATTTATCTTATTACACATGAAAAAAAGAAATTACCGCCGATTCGTACTGTTAAAGTATTTAGTAGTAAAAGCAATTCATTAGAAGAATCGTCTTCTGCTGACGAAATTACTCCTCAGGTAAAAGATGATATTAAAAATAACAAAATCGCAGATAAAAAGTCTTCCAGTACATTTGTTGAAGTTGAAACGTCACAAGAAGAAACAAGCGAAGCCATTGAAACGCTTTGTACAGAAAAATCTTCCGAAATAATGGAAAGTACCACGGATGTTAGTGAAATGATGGAAATTCAACAAGCCTCTGAAAATGAGGAAGCTTTTAAGGTTCAAGAACCTTCTATTACAGCAAAAGAGTATAAAAGTATTGCAGAGGAAACAGAATCGGGTCCACCTGCTGATATCTTACAAGAAGCAATAACAGTGACAGAAAACATCAACGAATGTGAGTTTGATACAATTTTTGAACAAGCCATATTTGGATCAGTTCAAGATCGTAATAAAACTAATACGACAAAAGAGAGGCAGACATCACTTGAAATACCGTATCAACAATTGGTTGAAGAAGTAAAGTTGTACTCGTTAAATCTGGATTTTGAACAATTAGGTTATGATTACTCGCAATTTTTGGCAAAGGAACGTCAAAGTCCCGCGATTGAAAATATTAATATAGTTGAGCCCACAACCCAACCAAGCTTCGAAGAAATAACAATTAACAAACCAGAAATTCCTCTAGAGGAAGTTCCTAAACAAAGCTATCAAATAATTTCTGATGCAGAAAGTAATTTTGGGAAAGATCAATCTATTGAAAAACCTATTGTGATTACAGAACCCCAAAAACATTCAGCTTATATTATAGAAAAAGCCCCGAGATTTAGTTATTACGACATACAAGATGCCGAACGTAACTTTGCGTTAAACAATTCCGAAGCAGGTGAGGATAATATTACGCGGGACGAACAACCAAGTGTGTTGCCGCACCAGATATTAGCAGGAGATACACTATTTCCAACTGATGCAAGGACATCAACAATAGCATCTGCCGAAACAGATTTTATTAGCGCCGAACAAATCAGTTCCTTAATATTGTCAGATACTTCTATGACTGTCGATGAACAAAGGGAACCATGTGAAACACATGTAATACGCAAATCTTTGACTGACTTTGAGCCACTGCGGGAGGAAACACCACGTCAAAGTTACCACGAAATAGTTGACGCTGAAATATTACTCGCTTCTATTAATTCAGCACCAAGACAAATACTAGAGGTTATTCAGTCGGATGTTGAAATGATAGAGCCTAAAGTTGAGCCCGCCAGGGAGAATAGTACCAATCCTGTGTTTGAACCACTAAAACAAAGCTATCACGAGATATGTGATGCTGAACGCCTATTAGGTGAGATTAAATCTAGAGAGCCTTCACCTTCACCTTCACCTGAAATAGAATTAGTCTCAACTACAGTTACATTAACTGAAACCGATCAAGTGCCTAGGGAACAAATTGTAAATCAAGTCACACCTGTTACTAACGGCGTGGTAGTAGGGCCATTAATTGCAGAAGACATGCAGGACGACGAACAGAGACAGAGTGTATACGAAGTGCCACAATTCAGTTACCATGAAATCAGAGACGCTGAAAATTTATATGCACATTCTGTAAGACCTCTGCAGTCTGTGATACTGCAAGAAGAAACGAGGGAAATTAATATTGATGCCCAAGATCCTACTACATCGTCTATTGTTATTTTGGAAGAAGTTACAAGAGATGATTATGAAAACCTTACAATTATCAAGGAAACTATCTCCACAGATGTAGATGTAGTATCGCTCGAGGATAATCAAACGAAGAAACAATCACCACCTAAAGAGTTAGTATCAGAATCGTCATCTCATAGTTATCATGAATTGCAAGACGCTGAGCTTGCATTTGCTAATATTAGCACCCAATCGTCGATTGAAAAGAAACAAGATGAAATAGTTACGTCTACAGACATTTCGTTAGAAGTCATAGATCAATCGGTTAAAAGTACACCAGAAATTGTGGAAAAATCTAAAAAAGATCAGTTTTACGAATCTGCTTCAGAACCAGCAGAAGCATTTGAGATTCATGATCTCTGCAATTCTCCGGTTACAATTGTTTGTGGCACCAACGATAAATCGGAACGTCAAATTGAAACTCGAAAAGCAGATGATACTGTAGAATTTACAGAACCTCCAAGTATTGAAGAAATATCTAAAGCCATTGAAGTTGAAACGACTGTCTCTGACGTGCCCGATGCTCATACAATTTTTTCGTATGAAATTGACGATCTTGATGACACACTTGTGCCTGTGGTTTTCGGTGATATTAAAAAAGTAGAGACTGCTATTAAAGAGAGACAAATTGCGCAACTTAAATCAGTGGAATTGCCTCCTAAAAAAACTATTGAGAAAGATGCTAAACAAATATCCGAAGAAGTTCTTGAGAAACCCGTGGAAACGCCTCATACTATCTCGGCGGCATTTATTCAAAGTGAAATATCGCACACTTTTACAAGCTTATCGCAAGAACCAATTACGGAAATGAAAAGTATGTGTCCAGAATCTACTGATACGCCTCAACAATCTAGGGATGCTATAAATACGGTTCAAAATATAGTTACGGAAGTATCTAAAGACTCGGTTGATAGTATTATGTCTGAGCAACTTAAAAGCGACACAAGTGTTAAGTCTGAAAAATCTCCTATTCATAGTTTGCACGACCTCCTTCCTGCAATAGATTCCATTCCCGAATTTAAGCCGTCCTTTTCAAACACTGTATTGTATTCAAATTTATCGGCTGATGCACCTGAATTCACACCTTCGTATTTGTACCGAAATATTGAAAGTACTGTGTCTGAAAGCAAACCGACTTCTATGACTGTCGGTAGTACCCAATCGTCTATAGAAATTCAAAATCAATCTCAAATAGCACCAGAAATTATGGAATTACGTCACTCTACAGTTAGCTTGCTACAGACTTCTACACCAGAGATTTATTCAACAATAACACAAACACAGAGGGAAACGGAAGAATCAGAGTCCAAGGCAAGAGAAACAGAGCCTGAAACTCTACAACATGACATAATATCTCTCAAAGGGTTTACTCAAGAAGAGCATGTTGATACCAAAACGAAGCGTAGTAAGAAAAAGAAGAAGAAAGAAGATAAAAAGGAAGTGCCAGTGTCTGAATCGCAGTCGTTGGCGGCACTTTCGTTAGAACCCACATTTGCGCGACCAGAACCAGTAAATGTATGGGCTAAGGCGGCAGAAGAGGGAAAATCATATGCAGAAGTCGTGGCTGAAGGTTCTGGAATTCTGCCACCAGAAAAGCAATTACATGCTGAAATAATCAAAGAAGAGGTTAAAAATACAATTGAAGAACCACCTGAGGCAGAAAGTGTTCACGGTTCTTGGGCTAAAATTACATCAGCAAGTCACTCAACGCCAGACAGGACTCAAAAAGCAGAGATGACAAGTGAGGCTGTGCATACCACTCACAAACCTCCTATGATATTAGTTGATGAATCGAATGCTGAGCACCACAAGCCTGAAGTAGAGGTTGATAGTGAAGGCTTTATAACTGTTGAAAGACACAGAAGATCGCGATCTCGATCGCGAGACAATATGTTATGTTCTAAATCAAAGTCATCACAGGCTCCTGATACACGTGACAAATCAGAGAATAGATTCGATCCGCTTACAAATATTTTAAAATCTGAAGATACTGAATCGGTTCATGGTATCCCGCAAGATGAAGAAAAACAAACTGTTCAAAAAGGAAGAAAAAGTCGTTCTTCTAAGTCTAAAGAAAAGGGAATGGAACCCAAAATAATATTTCCCAGTACATCTGATGAAGATAAACTAGCACCTAAAAAAGATAAAAAGAAACGTTCGTCCAAATCAAAAGAAAAAACAATCAAACAGGAAAAAGAAGTAATAACGCCTGACAAAAAGGAAATAATACCAGAAAAAGAAGTTTTACAACCTAATCCGGTAAAAAATTTAGAGACTCAAGAAGAAACAAGTATTGTGACACAATCAGAAACGCAGGAAAACAAGAAGAAAAGTAAGAAGAAGAAAAAAGATAAGAAAACAGAAATTGGCCCCACTGAGCCAGCTTCGTCAGTAGAAATTATCCATTCTGAACAAGAAACAAATATTGAAAAACAGGCTCCCACGAAAGGTTATCAGAGATTAATTGAAACCCCGATATCTACACCGGAGTCAGTACATACTCCTATTAAAGAGAGAATATTCTCAGAAGCACAATACTGGAAAGTCGACCCAAGTGGACTAGAAGACTTATCTCATTTGGATGAAAATATTACCATTGAAAAAGCACCTGAAGAGGTAAAGCCTGCAGAAGCAATGCAAACTCAACAAGTAATAAGTAATGTAGTGTCGCAGCTTCAACCAGACGTTACTCCGGAAAGCGATGAGAAGAAAACAATAACTGATTTTATCACCCATGAAATATTAACATCTATTAATGAAAAACAAGAGCAACTAGCTGAAAAGATTTCTGAGGAACAGTCTCTAGAAAGTAAGATGGCTGATTTGCAAAGGGAAATAGAAGAAATGCTATTACCAGAAAATGACTCGCTACTTGGTGATGACACTCCTAAGGAGTTGACAGACATGCAAAGTTCTGCAGATTACCTGCATGATGAGAGCCTGGATAATATTACACCAGCCTTAGCATCTCCAGAACCTTGCGATGAAGTTGTAGTAGAACAAAAGATTGACGTAAAAGATGTTCAACAATACCAGCTAGATGATAAACACATTAGTATGAGCATGATCGATTCTTTACTCGACGAATCTGAAGTTGTTCCAGCTACAGTGCATCGTGACATGTCACCCAAAGAACCTGAACAGGCAATACAAACTAAAGAACACGAATCAAAACTCACGCCAGCAATAGTACTGCCCGAAGTATCATTAGATAAAATGCCAGTGAGAATGTACGAGCTTCAACACAGCGCTGAAAATAAAGAAACGCAATCCGTAGACTTACCTAAATCAGAACTATTTGAGGAATCCAGAAAAGGATCTGCAGATGAGCATGATAAACCCAAACAATCTGATAAAGACACAGTGTCTTCACAGTTTACACAAGTAGTAACTACAACTAAAATATTAGATGAACCGGTAGAACTTTCGGAACCCTTATTAACTAACTACGATCCCACTATTAACAACTTACTAAACCTAAAAGAAGATCACTTTTGGACTGATAAATTTATTACGGACGATGCGGAACGGTTATTGCTCGACCAAAACTATAACTTTCCCAAACCTACTGAAATCATATCGGAGTTCAAAATCGAACCTAACTTTGAGTTTCAACAGTCTGAAATCAAAATTGATCCCAATTCAGAACATAGTGACGATGACATAAGTGTCGAGGAAAATATAAGTAACGACAGTTCTTTCTGGCCCGAAAAGCATTTATACCACGACGCGGAACGTGAATATTTCCTGTTAATGGCTAGGGAATCTAAATCTCCATCACCGCCTAAGGTTGAAATTGAAATTAAAGATCAAAACGATAAGGATAAAGGACCTGGAGGTGGCTCCGGCCACTCGTCCGAGACGGAGGAGCCCAGAGATTCTTGCGGATCGCCTTTCGATTCAAATTACATTTCAATGGATTTACCCGGTGGCATATGTAGTTGGAAAGATCAGAGCTCCTATCTGAGCCTGGAAACGCCTACAGACTCCCTGGGCCCCATAAGTGAGAATACGCCGCGCATAGGAACCGATTCGCGGGAGGATATACTAACAACCTCTCCCCACGAACCAGTAGCCCCACCCCCACCCTCACAGGAGCAACCGGGAGGCGAGGACACATCCCAGAGGAGAGCCAAGGTGACTGACCCCCAGTCGTATTGTACAATTTTACAATTTACTCTTTATGTTTGGCATGATATTCTTACTAAATTCTTAATTTCACTTATTATGAGGATCTGTATTGTAAGGTGTCGTGTAGCAATGCCAAATTTGCCGTTCGTCTTGTAGTGCCAAGTTTTGGCGAGCACTGTAAGTCGTAGTAGTCTTAATAGATGCGCATTTGGATTAGTAGATAATTTAATTCAATGTAGTGTGTGAAAATTAATCTAGTCTTGTCTAGTCCAATCAGTAGTTAACTCTAATAAATTATTGACGTTTTCAACTGTTTTCTAGTCTATAGTGGTCTGATCTTTGAAATGTAATAAAATAAATACTCGTATGTGTTTTGTTTTATTTAAGCAATCGAATTTATTGTTATTTGATTTTTATTTTGAAAGTACCCCTTTTGTTTTTAAAGTTCTTTTTGCCATAAATTTGGCTGCTACGAGACGATCGACAGTGCCGCTTAATGGAAGATGTTTCTAGATGTTTTCTTTGGGTTTTTACAATTTGAACCAGGAAGAAGGCTGACATAAGACCCGCCTTTTCTTTATTATTTCCAGGTCAGTCCTGTTGCTAGTATGTGTAAATTCCTGGTAGAGTTATATGTTACGTCCAAGAATGCCGATTTAGATTTAAAGATGAACACTTTCGTATTGAAGATTGGCAGTAAAAAATGTGCATATCTTTACACCTACTGTTAAATAATTTTTTTTTTAAATGGTTATGTGTGTTCATCTTCAGTGTTAATTTGATAATTTTTGTTTTGTTTTGTCTTTCATTTGTTTTAGATGATATTTAAATCATCTGGTTAGAGTTTCTGAAATATAATTTCCAACGTTGCTTGTCAATATATCTGTCACCGCTTATGAACACGCTAATTGACAGAAAGATACTAATCTTTTGATACGCTTTTGGGAAAAATAGGTGTTATTTTACGTATACGTATTTTTTTTTTAATTTGGATGTTCCAAATAATGATTTCAATACGATCGTATCTCCAGAGTTACACGGTTGTAGCCCGATTTTTCCAAAAACTGTACCAAAATCTTCAACATTGTAAAAATATAGCTGAAAAAAAAATTTTAAAATTATTTGTTGATGGTACGGAGCATTTATTTATTTTTATAAACCCATTTTAAGATTGTTTTTAGCATGTCATGCCAAAATGAAGGACTAATTGAGCAATTTTTGTTGATGTTTTGATGTAGCTAACTGCCCACTGCATCTGTTATGCTGTGACTGGATGCAATTTAATTTTGTTTGCCCCTTATTATTTAGTTCGTTGGAGACGTGAAATAAGTTAAGAATGTCTGTCGCACTAGTGTATGCACAATAATGCAATCACATAATATTGCATTGCAACACTGTGATTGGAAATAAGAAGATTTATAATTTGAATTTTACAATTACATTTTATATTAAATTTAAACATGTCTTTTGCCAAATGAAAACGTTTTTATTTCACGTCTCTATAGTAGTGTTGTGGTGTGAAGCTAATAAGGGCGTGTGTTCTCAGGAGTTGTCTAACGATATTGAAAGTCTGCTGGAGGAAGTGCGATCGGTGCAAACCAGGCTGTCTGATCTACCTGACGAGAGCCTCGAGGCTATGGAAGGTGGACTGAAGGTGAGTTTTCAAACTGGGGTCACACTTTGCTTCATTTTTAAATGTTTTAAGAGCTAGGGAGCCTAGGCCGTGGAACAATTTATTGTCATAACGTTTATACCGGGTCATAGGTATAACTAGGTATTTACCATCGAGTATACAACCGGAAACAGAGACGCAATTTATTTGAAAACTATTCTGCCATATCATTACGATGACAGATGCGCTCCGATTGGCCAGCCCGAATTCGAAACAATTGACGGGTGTCGTCAATTGTTTCACTTCGTTTAACTTGAGCCTTGCTATAATGGACGAAATTTAAAAATTACGTAATTTAATATTTAGTTACCGATGAAATGTGTTTGTAATTAGATGTTTTGCAGTTTATCTCACACCACTGAATGCAACAGCCCTCCAGAGTTAGATATTATTATCTGTATTACAATAATATAAACATAGGTCAGTTGTTGGCGCTGTACTATTTCAGCTTTCTAATTGATTTCAGCGCAAACGAGAGTTGATATTTCGTCACGAAATTGATATCAGTACCATTTGACAGATGGGTTGCCAGGGATGGATGGACCTTATTTCGTCTCTATTTCTGGTTATGTACTCGATGGTATTTACTAAGTATATAGTGACATTTTTTTTGTGGAACTTCGTGATTCTTTTTATTGTGTCGATGGCAAACACAGTAATGCTTGCCATCGTGGTAAAGGATTTGCCAATAGGCGTAAGGTACTCGCCGATTATTGCCCAAGGTGCGCCAATGTACAGGAAATGAATATGATTCGCTGATCAAAATTTAAAAATACACTCTGGCGCAGATGTGTGTAATACTAAAAAGTTATGATCAAGAAATAGTAAAAAATGTACGTATTATGTATTGCCTTGTATGATATACGTACTAAGAAAGTAATTTACAATAAAGCCTGGCACATTTCAGGAGGTGATCGAATATACATATGTGTATACGTGTATATGTATGCATTGACTTTCTTTTCATTAACGATTAACCAAATAATATTTACATTCAATACGGGAAAGTAAAAGAATAATAAAACACAATATACAAAAATTGCAAAGTGGTTACTCCAGTTTTTTGTGTATTTTTATTCCGCCAACAATGTAAATACGCCATTTTGATTTCTTTCTTTAAATAATAACGTTCCATTCCTACTGACGGCGCGTAGTTTAGATAAAACCACAGCCATTTTAATTTTAGAACACCATTCGCTTTTCCCGCTGTTTAGGGGCCCTATTCTTGGATCGTTATTTCGGGCTGGAGTTTGAATTCGAAACCAGAAGATGCACTTTCGGAACTGCCAGCTATTTCCTTATGTTGTAATAGAAACTTTTTTATTTTTATACTCTCTCCCAGACTGCCAACTGTCAAGATGATAAATGTGTTAGTTTTCAAAAGAAAATAAATACTTCCTCGTTTCGGTTATTTCACAGTTTTATTCACTAGTTTACGAAATGATGGCCCAATGTAATCATTTATTCCTGCTCAGTATTATTAGCTTTATTTTTTCAGCAATTTCACACGTATTTATATCGTTTATTAATATAACTAAGTTCTAATTCAAACTCCAAGCTATCCTATGAAGGGTCACAGCGCTGCAAGCCGCGATGTAAACAAAACTAGAATTCAGAAGTTGCGTAAGCAATAATTGTCTGATTACGTCACCGGCTATTATAGTTAATAGTTATGGTGGTAATACACCTCCAAAATACGAGATGAAGAATGTTTACATGAGCTTTGGCAGAGCGTTACGGACAGGACCGCAGTTAGGGTAACAATAATATTTCTATTATTCTTAAACAAATTGTTACCTGCTGGAGTAAACTTATTTCTGTCGTTTTTTACATCTTCACAAAAAACACGGTATAACGGTATGGTTAAATTCCAAATATTTAGAGGACTAGATCATCGCCAAGTAAATGCATTGCTCACACTAGGTTGTCAAAACGTACGTGATATTGCTAGTCTTGGCAGAGAATGAAGACAGACACAGACTCAGACAATGTTTGTTCTACTACCGTTTACAAGAAATTGTTAGCTATGGTTTTGTTGATTTAATATCGGAGCTTTATACTTTACTGGTAAAGTATGTATATATTTATATTAGGTATATTATATACCTAAAAAATCCTCACACGCTAACAATAATAATTTTCTAACATGTATTTGCAACATGAATTTAGTCCAAATGCGTCTCTGTACGTAGACCCATGTGCACCGAACCCATTGATGATGTCACCTAGTGCCTATTACGACATGAATGTTAATAATAACCTCTAGTGTTTGGCATCTCTCAGTAGGGCACTGGTGCGCGATCCCCGCGAGCCGCTCCGCGATCCAAACATTCGATATTCAAATTATTTCGAATTATAGATTGATTTTCGAAATACACCTCTCAAGTGGAATGTAGTTTTTCAAATTTCGAATATAGTGATGTGTAAAGAATTCTTTTTAAATAAGTGGCCAGTACTTGTGATGCAGTACCTATATGATTGAAATACGTAAGTTAAATCTTCCAAAAGGTAATCTATATACAAATAGTTATTGACAAAAATTGGTTCTACATAACTGTTATTAATTAGCCGGTGCCGTAAATTTTTTTATTTATTTAAATTCTCCATTCTCACGAGTTATAGTAAAATGTTACTCATTAACCATACTTACGTTCCAAAATACGTAAAAGTTATGTGTAGTGTTTGTCGGCAGTAAAGTAAACAATATTTAAATAGAAAATAGGCCGAACGTTGGATGTATGTACTTACTTGCGTGAAATTCCTAACAGGTACGCGTAAAAAACTTGTTCTTAATTGTTTCAAAACTTTATTATGTTTCATTTTAAGGCAACGTTTCTACAAATCATGATGATTTTATTTTAGTTATAAATAAAAAACATGCATTTATTCCCAAAACAATGTAATTATTGACTACATTTGAATCAGCGTTATAAGGAAAAGCAAATGCATAATTTATAAGAAACATTTTAATGTTAAAATAGGTACCACTTCAATGATGTCACATATGACAAATACAAAGTACATACCTACTTATGTCATGTACAAATTTAGATTTCACTGAGAACATGTCATAGCTATTATTAAATCGATATAATTTAAGTGATTTTTTAAATTTACTTATTACGGAGTTTAAATCGAAATTGTCAACCAAAGAGATTGGTTTTTCTATTAAAATGTACAACAAAATGTCGTAATAGTTTCCAGGTATAATAAATATAATAGAATACTACTATTTTCAGGCATAGGTAATTTCTTACAAAAAGTTATCGAAAACTAGTAAGTTATATTGCATGTACCTGCTAAAATAGGTAGTATAAAATAAGTAGATAGTGCCTATTTTTTTTTATTATAAAAAATATAATAATCATCTATTTATGTGCCAAATTTCATATACAAGTGCTCCATACATAAAGATAGCAATACTTAAACTTTAAATCTTTTTTACTTTGTTCCAAAAGTGTACCTTACAATATTGCAGTCTTTGCTACTTAAAAAATTAAATTTTTATAGCACACTGAGAATAAATTTTCGTCTTTTCTATAATATCCAGTTGTAATAAAAAAACTAAACGTAACGTTTTATTTTTAACTATATACGATGATACTCGCAGTTTAGAAATATAGAATATCATAAAGCGTGACAAATATCACATGCTAGATTTCGTACAAGGCTAAACATGGTTACAGCCTTGCATGAGAAATACTTAAAATGTTACTGAAGTGTTTTTTAATTCGTCTTGTAAACTAAAGTAACATTTTCAGGAAGAAGACGTGTGCAAATTCAGATCTCAAGATATACGTCTAGGTCCAGATTGAATAATTTCCGTAGATGAAATGTTGTACAGTATTTGAAAATGAATTCTTATAAGTTTATTTCTTACTTAAGTTCTCATAGTTATTTATGTTTCTCTAATAGGTAGTCATAATATAGGGAATTCCGTAATTATATACCAAATACTTGGTCTTACTATTTAGTTTACTTTGATAAAAATGTCAAAGTAAGCAAATTACACTTGAAATCCTCAAATTGATTAAACTCTACTACTCATTTCTAAGGCAGATTCCCCTGAGAAGAATGAGCAACACACTCTTTGTAATTAAATATTTGTACTTAGTCAACCGAGACAACCTGCAAGAGGTAAACGGGTCACTACCACGGATTTTTATCTTCCAAACATGCTAAAGATTTAGTTGAAAGTTTTTGTTTCACTGTAGTTTTGAACATCATAAATTGCAAATTTTGAATATCAACCGGAATCTTATTACAGAAGCGTATACATTGCCCCTTAAATGAATTTGTGAAGAAGACTGCCAAGAACAGCCAGTTTAGTTTTGTTTCTCCTATTAATGTTACGTATTACACAATTTTTATTAAAAAAAATGTATTTTTTTTTATTGGAAAATACGATACGTCTGTATGATACATCCTTTCCTGTCTGAATTAGCTCAGAAGATTTATTATATCGTTAGTGTTAGTAAAATTGTGGCTTAACTATTTGACAATTTCCAAATATGCTTACGCTTCTAACAGCTGTATACAAAATATTCCAGGACGGCATTGAAGTTCTTGTCAAGTGTGAAGAAGCTGCCGAGCTATTGGAACAACAAATCATGGAGTATCGCCAGGAGGCAGAGATCCAGAACCTGCTCAAAGAGTTGATTGTGATGAAGGCGAGGATATCCAAATTGCTCACACAAGCGAGACAAGGTTTACTCACCATCGAGGTAAGCAAGGTAATTTTTTTTCTAAATATTTTTCTGTCGCGATTGAAAATTTTATTTTTGTAACTCTTTACAATAATATGTTGGTGTAACAGCTACATGTGTTTACTTCGTTATTTCAAGTTTCTAACATTTTTTTCATAGCGTTTTTTTCTACAATTCCAGGACGCCAAAGCAGAAATGGCTCGGGAATCAAAAGAGATCGAAAAACAAAAAGAAAAAATTGCCAAACTTGATCGGTGGCTTGAAACTATAAACAATGAGCTCAATGAATCGACCAAACATTACGACGTCATTGTAGAGGAAGACATCGTTAAATATATCGAGATCTACGAACGTTACATCAGGGACTACGAGGAGTATGAGACTTTACTGAAGTCTATTACCGTGATAAGTAAAGATGAATCTAATCAGTCGTTGAGAAAGAAAGTGGAAGCAATGCAGAACGCATTGCAGGAAACGAAAAATCTAGTCATTGTAGAAATAGAAAGGTTAAGGCAAGTGTTAATCCAGATTAGATCTGCGCCTGAAGTCGCTGATGAGGATATTTCACAGACGGACAGAACCATTGATTCGACGTCTATGCCCGAAGAAGTCGTTAGTCCGAGGGAAGTATCAGATAAAGTCCCTACTGTCCAAGAAAGTAAACCTAGTCAAGTTGTCAAAGCACATACAGTTACTATAGACACTCAAACTGGAAAGAGTCTTGCCCTAGAGCCAGAGCTGAAGGAAAAACCTATAGTTGACACAGCCAAAGTGCCAGAAAGCAAGCAAACTGCTGTGATTGAAACGCAAACAGGAAAAAGTCTGATATCCGATGCTCCTTCCGTGTCGGATAAATCTGTTATATGTCAACCTGACATAGAAACGACAAAAGATGTAGCAGTAACAGCTGCAGCTCCACAGCATGTAGAAATTCAAACTACTGAGCCACATCTAGAAGATAGAGAACTGCTTGAAAACATCCAAGTTAGACAGTTTATGACTGACGGTCACGAAACTATTGAAATTGCTAGTCGTCCCATTTACAGAGAACAAAAAATTGAGGATAAATCTATTTTAGTAGATGCGAACTATAAAGACGACTATACAGGTAAAGATTCTCAACTGAATATCACCCATAGTTTACCGCAGTCTTTCGAAACCGTAATGGTTGAACCCGATGAAACAACTACTGAAGTTGTAGTAGACGCCGATGGTACAAAACGAATTATTGTTAAGAAAATTAGGAAAACATTAGTGACCAGACAGCAATTAGTGCAAACACAACAACAAAGATCTCAAATTCTTGCAAGCAATGTTATTCCACAAGAGCAATCGTTTTCGCAAGTAATTTTAAAAAAAGATAAGGGATCGACATCGACTGCCTTAGGCGACGGCGATGTTCAACATGTTCAATATCAAACTTACGATGGGCAACTTGTATCTGGATTACCAGGTGGTGAAGTAACTATTCAAGAGTTCACATCTAAACCTGATATGGTCATCAAAATGGAACAAGGAATGAAACCCGAAGAAATTCTCCAGATTGCTGAAGGTGAAGTGCCACAAATTCAAACTTCATCATCTAGCGTAACAGCTGTGGTTCAACAAGTTACTAAAAGAATAATTTGCACTCGACGACGCATAATACGACGGGTTGTTATAATAGACGGCAAAGAGCATGTAACGGAAGAGATTGTGGAAGAACCTGACGTTGAGGTTCACGAAGAACTGATTCCAAGGGTTTCAATCAATGTTAAAGATCAAGGTGGTGTATTATTTGAAGAAATTGATGACTCACAAGATAAAGGCGACCAACCACCTTCGTCTCTACTTCCTGATAACAAAGGCGATCCTTCTAAAGATAATAAGTCACTGAAGAAACCACCCAAGCTTGATGACTCACCTCCAAAAGAAACTCTTTTTGAATCTTCTCAGGACTCAAAACCACCAAATGAACCTACAGCAAGCGACAAACCAGATTTACACGAATTAATGCAAGAATTAATTCAACAAGAAAGTATGCATGGCGAATCCCCAAAAATAGATAAGTCTGAAAATGTTATTCATACTTCCCAAGAACGTGAAACAACTCCTCGAAAAACTTTTACAATTTCTGAAATATACCAAACGCTACCATCAGAAGGCGGACAGGTATATGAAGTACAAGAACCACAAGAAGGTCAGTACAAAATAACAAGCGAAGGTATTGTTCATTCCACCCTTGAGTCATCCTCTGCTAACATAGCTACAGTGGTATCAAAAGTCACGAGAAAGGTAACACGGACTAGAAAACGCATCATCAAACATATTCAAATAATTGACGGTAAAGAACATGTTACTGAAGAAGTGATCGAGGAACCCGATGATGTACAAATAACAGAAGAAGAACCTCAAGTTTCTCAACACACGATCCAAGAACAAAATATAAAAACAAAACGCATAAGAATTATTCGCCAAGTCCAAATAATCGACGGTAAGGAACATGTGACTGAACAAGTTATAGAGGAACCAGATGATGAATGTACACCCGAGACGACAGTAACATATGCTGATAGTGATGTGCAAGTAGGTGCGCCGCAGATTTCTGAAATTTCCCAAGAGTTTGCTAGCATTATGAAAGAACCTGTAGAAGATACATTAAATCAGAAAACTGTCATTGAGACTATTAAACCAATATTATTGCAAAAAGGTGAAATAGTAGAAACTAAACAAGAACCTACACTAAGTCTGGATGCGAAGGACGTGCCTGTACTTAATCTGGATGCCAAAAACGTGCCAAAATCAACACCAATTGAAATAGTTGTGAAAGCAACACCTGCTACAGAAGAAGTAGTTTATACCCCTGTAGAACCTCAAAAGAATACAACCATAATTGATATTACTAATAAACTCATAGGTAGTGAAATAGATCATTCTGCTGCCTCATTAATAGCGCCTTTACCTAAAATGTCAATTGCCGAGCAGATAGCTCCTGAAACTAAGGAACCATTACAAAAAGAACCAGTTCGAAACAAGAGAAAGGACAAAAAACGAAAGAAAATTAAGAGCATAGATGAAGAATCGGACAGCATTTCAGTTTCTGACAATGTTCCGGACTTTGCTCAAGAAATTGGACAAACTGCCATTGAAAAAGAAGTTGAAATAGAAGCAACTGCCGATCGTGCTAAGCCTGAAGCCGAAGCAATAAAAGAATCGATAGAAGCGTTAGTGGAAATGCCTAACCAATCCACATATTCCGTCACAACTAAAGAAACTTCTAATCCACAACTACAAATTCTCACAAAAACAACAACACAAAAAGACCCATCCACCAAAATGACAGTGACAAGAAATAGAAAACGCATAATCAAACATATTCAAATCATCAACGGCAAAGAACACATTACTGAAGAAGTCATTGAAGAGCCAGAAGAAGTAGAACTACTTATAGGAGAACCCAAACTAGTACAAACTCTCCAGGAAGATGGTATAGAGACAAAACGTATAAGGATTATTCGGCATGTCCATTTTATTGATGGCAAGGAACATGTTATCGACCAAGTGGTTGAAGACGCTGATGGTGAATACATTCCCGATTCTACAATTATAGCAGAAATTGATGCACATATAAGTAAAATACACGAAGTTAAACCAAAAGAACAGATTGAAAGTTCTTTTGTACCTGCAGTAAGGTCACAAACAGACGGGGTTGATGCCACAACAGCATTAATTGGCAGTGAAATCGATAACGTAGCTTTTACTCAACCAATAAATCAAGAGCCAGTAGCTAAAAAAAGAGAAAAAAAGTCCAAGAGGGGTAAAAAAGAATCAAAAGAGGACGTTGAAACTAAAAAAGATAGAACACCAGAACTGGCTGAAGCACCTACGAGAGCTGAAGTAGGTACACAGATTGTTCAACAAACCACAGCAACTGAGCCTGCTGTGACGAAAATCTCAATGCAAGAGGACGTACCTAAAGTAACGGAAACAATTACAACTGCCACTATAACAACATCACCTGCACCTGATACGGTGAATGAAACTACAATTACTGACATTACCACAAGTTTTATTGATAGTGAATCCAATCATTCAGCAGCATTGAAAACTGGACTTGAAGAACCTGTACCTAAGAAAAGAGACAAAAAACGCAAAAAGCAGCCAGAACCGGTTAAGCCTGCAATACCACACGAGGAACTGAGGGAAGAAACCAAACAAGAATCAAAACAAATAGTAGAGAAACTTAAATCGCTGTCTCCTGAAAAAGAAATTATCGAAGCGCATGTTGAGTCCCAAACAGCGGAAGAAATTGTATTTCCTGCTGAAAAAATTACCCTTACAGGTAAAGTGACAACAGCCAAAACTACTCCTATAACTGAAATGTTAGAGTCTAAAATATTCAAAGGAAAATCGCCCGAAGAGCTGAAAGACAAGACACCATCCCCGGATAAAGAAATCAAACAACACGTTGATATTGACATTGTTTCTAAGGACATAACTAAAATGCCTGAAGCAAAAGAAATTAGTATTCTTGAACTTACTAAACAACTTTTAGAGAAAGAAAGTATTCATGCTGCAGATATTCATTCACCCGTTAAAACAAAAGATACATTCGAATTTATTCAAACAACCGTCGAAAAAGAACCAATGGTTAAAACACCAACACCTATTGCAGATGTTTCCAAAGATACTTATGAACAAGTAAATACAGGAACTACTGTAGTACCTGACCAGAAACATGAAAGCTTAGATTTTGGTAAAATCGACAGCCTGACATACGTAGCACAGGTGCCCGAACGAGAAGCGTCTCAAACAGCTATAGAAAATAAAGATATTGTGCCATTGATTCAAGAAGTCGAAAATATGACTAAAATTGTAGTTAGTGCTGCACGACCTGAACAAAGAATAACAGAAGCAGTAGTTATAATACCACAGAAGGAAATTAGTGAACAGACGCAAGAACTTCTTAAACAAGAATCTGCAAAAGATAATTTACTAATCCATTCTGAACAGCACCCTATAGAGCCATCGCATGTTACGAGCGAAGAAACGGTAATACCTTTAAAAGATATAGTTGAGGAGAGATCTGAAATCATTCCTGATAAACCACCGAAGTTATATTCGGTGGGTATAGAGCCTTTACAAAGTGAAACTATTGTCACAGAGGGTGTTGCAACAATTGTGTCTGACGTACCACAGATATCTTATATTCAGCAATTTAAACCTCAATTGCAAAGTTCCACAGAAAGTATTGACAAAATAATACCAGCTCTTGAAAAAGAACCACAACTTGAACATTGTATAATGCCATCGGTGACCTTGGAGACTATACAACCAATTAAACCAGACGCTTACGATATTAACTTGCTGCTTGAAGCAGAACGTCAGGATACTCATCTACGTGGTGTACAACAACCTGTGAATGAAAGTAAACTAATACAAACTGTCGATATTTCTGTGTCTATTTCTAAAACTGATGAAGCTCACAAAGATGAACCTAAAGTACAGTTTGATATTAAAGTTGAGGGCTTAGAATCAAATGAACCATTTATTGTCAAGAAGGACGTTAACGTCCATCTACCAAGCGACGTAAAAATCATAACTGACTCAGTTGAAGATCCAGTGTCTCAACCTTTAGATAAGGAACAACGACCAACAGAAATAACACCTGAAGAATCAATAAAAGATCGTAAACGAAGTAAAAAGAAGAAGAAACACAAAGTACTTGAAACCGGCGATTCTATGGAAACCGAAATACTCACCGAAACGGACAAAAGCACAGAGAGCTCATCTTTGAGTCACTATGTAGAGTTACCAACTTCACCCCCAATTGAATCTCCGAAACCAACAGGAGATGTTTTAGAACCAGTACTACAAGAGCTAGAACCAGATTCTCTAGTTACTGAATTGGATTACACGACCGAAGAAAAGGGATATGAACCCGAAGATGCATCATTAGATGTAGTAGCAGCCCCTGACAAAAAGAAGAGACAAAAGAAACGAAAAGCGTACGCTGTGAGTGACGAAACCGCCTACCCCAAACTGACTACAGCGGAATCTGACGACACTACGATTTCTACTCCTGTTGAAATTGCTGAGAATACTCAGCAAAAGAAATCCAAATCAAAGAAAGGGAAGAGAAAACTTCCCAACGAACCATTATCAACGCCAGACGTTGAACTTGAACTAGAACCCGAAATTCAACCAGAAAGCCCAAAGATAGGTGAAATTGGTGAAACTTCCCCTAAAGATGAATCTTACCACACAATGAGTGAAACATCTGATATAAGCACAGTAAAAATTATAGAAGAATGCGTACAAAGCAGTCCTGAGACAATCAAGAAAGAAATACCCACGACTATTACGTATCCTGTTCCAGTCGTGGAAGAAATACCAACCCAAGAATATTCTGTACAAACCTCACCTGAAATCGTCCAAGAAACGTTTACAGCAGAAATTCCAGACATACCCAGACCAGAAACTGCAGAAACTGCGTTACAAACGTCTCCTACTCCTATTAGAGAATCTTTGGTTCAAACAACGCCTGTTGAAGAACAAGAAGCTCATACTCAAACACTTGAAGAAGTAACACTCGTAGAAAAAATTGAGAAATCTGATTCACAGATGCAGACTAGCAAATCCGCAAGTCCAGAACCCATAATTCAAACAGAAATGACTACTCAGGTTGTTCCGCAAGATATTTATACTCCGGAAGAAAAGTTCTCGCAAACTTCACCCATTGAAGAATTAGAAGTAAAGCATAAGAAACCACCAACGCCCGTTACTATTACAGAATCTAGAGAAATACAAACGTCTCCATTGCCTGAAGTGCAAAAGGATGAAAAAAGTACTGAAATGATTATCGAAACAACAGAAAGTGATATTCAAACAATCAAGCAAGAAATCGCAGACCAGGAAACATCTACTACGCCTATTGAGGAGAAGGAGCGGACGGAGATAAGCATTCAGACTCACGTAGTTCCTCTGGTGAGCTCTTATACACAATCCGAAACGCTACAACCTGTGACTGTACCTGTAACTGAAGAGAAAATTGATCTTGAAAAGCCTTCACTTCCTGAACTAGACATTACCAAAACAGATGTCATAACAGTCGATAGCACTCAACAAACATCGCCCATACCGAAAGAGATCACACCAGTACTTCAACCAGAAGTTATAAAAGAGGTTGTTACTGCTGATAGTACACAACAGACTTCACCAAGATCGGAAGGACCAATATCTATGCCTCCAATTGATCTCACTAGAAGTGAAATTATTACTGTAGATGGCGCCCAGCAGACGTCGCCTAGAGATGATTCAATATCAACATCGACAGATGAACCTTATGAGGTGCACCTGCGAGCTCAAATTTCCATTCCTGAAGCGACTACCGAATTTATTGAAAGTGAAAGGCAACGACCACAAACTGTCATTACTGAGAAACAAAAGTACAAAAAACTGAAGTCTAAGAAAAAGACCGACTCTCCGGTACAGTCACCTGAAAGTCTTTCGGATCTTATCACCAGGGAATTGTCTCTATCAGAGACGCCGACGAGTGATGATCTGTCTTGCCAAGACATCTCCTCTATAGATGAGGGTATTTCACAACTGGCTAGTCCTATTTCACCAAGACAGGAAAACTACGTTGCTGAACAACACAAGTTAACATATTCCGATGTTGTTCAAAGGTCGAAATCTAAGTCACCCTCTCCAAGCAAGATAGTTTTCCCGCAAAAATCTGAAAAGGCAAGATTGCTCAAGGCTTTAGAGAAGCGAACGCAATCTGTTACTGAATCCCAGAAGGGTGCCGCTGATGAGTTTATGGCTGTAGCACTGCAAGGACTAACAGTGGATAAGTCATACGAACTCGTCATAAACAAAGAGCTTGATGAAGTAAGGAATGCGACTGAAAGTAACGATCCAAGAAGAATTGATAAGAGTGTTATTATGATAATTGAAACTATCTCAATTTGGCTAGAAGAAATTCAATATAAAATTCAGCGCGAAACTGCTTCTGGATCAAAACCAACCGAAGAAAGCGAACGCTTGAAATCACTTAAAAGCTACATCCAACATTTAAAAGAAATCATTGAGGTAACGGAAGTAAGTGAAGAAATCACGACATTGATTGAAACATTAACGCGACAGATAGATGCAGTAAATACATTGAGCAACCAAAGTTCAGTCAAAGTCAAAGAAGTTGAAAACGAATGGGCCAAGTTCTTAGAGGACACAGAGAAGCTCAATCGTTCTGTAGATAAAGTTAAGTCTTCCGTAGATGACACTATACTATCTGACATTCCCACTCAACAGAAATTGGATAAACTTGATAATATAGAATCAGAAAATATGGACAACTTAAATGAGGTTAACAAACTATTTAGAAGATTCCGTATTCTTGTTGAAGCAAATCCAAAACGAGAATGTCCAACGGTACTATACTCTTGCGAAGATGACACCAAACAGGTTGAGAACATAATAAATACAGAACGAGATCGTCTTTTGCAACTTACGTCTTTGGCAGAGGAATACGAACAAACTTTGCAAGATTTCGGACAAATCACTGATGTTGCTGAAGCACTTTTAGACGGAAAGATTATTGTGTCCAACCTGGATCATTTACATGAAGAAATTCAAAAGCATAGAAAATTCTTTGTAAACTTAAGCCATTGCAGAGCCATTTTAGAATCATTGGAAGATAATTTAGATAGTGAAACCAGGGCCAAATACTCGTCTTTACACAACTCCCTTCATGACAGAGCTACAGTTATAATAGACAGAGCTGCAAGTCGAGCTCAGCAAATGACAATGGCAGCATCAAGATGGACAATGCTAGAACATGGAATGAAAGAAGAGTATCAATGGCTGAGAGTTGCCCAACAAAGACTTCCCGATTTAACCAACGTCACTTCAATGGACCACGAGCAATATATCAATTTATACCAATCTATTAGTATGGATGTCTCACATCATCATGCTAAGATCTTACGTCTATTATCCATTACTGAAGGTCTTCAAGGCCTTATTGTCTGTTCTGGATTAGAAACTGCATGTTCCACTGCACTTGACGTATTATTAAAATTGCAAGAAGACGTTGATTCCAGATTAACTCGGTTGACCGCGTTTAGAGAGAACTGGTTGACGTACGACCACCTTATAGACAGAATCGAAGGATGGATGAAAACGGCTAACAGAGAATTAGAACATATAACACCAGAAAATATTACTACCACCGGCAATCTGCGTCGATTCTGGGAATTGAAAGCGCAACACGAAGTTCACAACAACTTAAAGAACGAATCAGGTGTACAATTTGAAAAAGCCTTAGAAATCCTTCCTATATCGGATGAAATGGTTCAAAGACAATTTTTCTCTAAAATCGAAGACATGTGGCGTGATCTAGCTGCAAGAATAGACAACATTCACGCTTCAGCTATTCAAAATATTTCCGATCGTGACGTCTCTTCTGGCGAGAAACTAAACATCTTAGAAGAAGAACTTCGAGAACTTCGTGCTATACTAGACAGCCTTAAAGGCGTAATCAAGAGCGAAGATGAGCTGAATCTTTATATCGAAAGATTGCAAGTTATGACTAGCCGCATTGATAGAATACAAAACGAGCTTGGTAGGCTGAGTTTGCTTCCTACAGCTGAATCTGAACGTATGGGGACCCTGTTGACACAATCAGGCATTTTAGATGATCAGATCGCTGAGGAGCTTGAACGAAGTCTGTTGCTCAAAGAGAAAATCGTACAAGTGCAAGCTGGTATTGCAAAATGTCAGAAGAGCCAACGTCGCGCTCGTCTTACTATCGAAGAGTGTGAGGCTGCAGAGCGTCTTGGAAGTGACGTAGTGGAAAAAGCGTCCGAGTCCTGTGAGAAACTGTTAGAAGACCTGGCAGCGCAATGGAGGGATATCCTAGCTTTGAGGCAAGCGTTGCATACGCTACCAATCAGCCTAAGGGTATGTGTCTCACCAATAGGCATTGAGCGGGATATCACTGCTTTACAGGTAAGAATATTGCACTGAACAATAAAATTTTAATAATGTGCGCATATCTTAGAAGTCCTAATTATATATTTTCATATCTCAGGAGACTCACGCTGATCTGGAAGCGGCGGCTAACGACCTTAGTGCCCGACTTCGCGCCAAAGTGCACTTATGGAGGCGTTTTGAAAGACAACTGGAGTTGGTGCAAGGGGCAGTTAGGGAGGCTGACTACATGGTCGAGCTACTGACTGTCCAGGGACAGGTCGACTACGACCGCCTGCTAAAAGCCACAGAGAAACTGGAGGTCAGTACTATTATTGTTACAGTTACAGGTGTACTCAAAGTTATCAATATTACTCCAAATTATTTTGTCACAACTGCACTATGAGTTCTATCTATAAATCTCATCTCATCAAATCCCCCTTTAGATTTGGATTCAACTTTACTTACGTTAATACTAAACGGTCCATTGTCCATAGCCCGCTTGACCTCTTAATATTTCTTGCAGACGCTGAGTGAATCGCTCACCCGCCGTAGCGGTGAGCTAGTCGGGGAGTTGAAAGATGCTGCAGCTCCACTGGAAGCGTCAACCGAGCCAAGCGTAGCCGCGCAGTTAAGAAGAGAACTGGACGACGCTGCTGCAGCCTACGAACACACTTGCAATAATTTAACACAACTGTGTGAGAAGTAAGTCTAATTTTTCATAAATCTATTGTTGTTTTAGAATGTATTAATGAAGAAAATACAAATGGTTTATTGGCTAAGTTAAGTAAAAGCGTTTTTGTTCCAGTTAAAATTTTTTTCTTAAATCGTTCTACATCTATCCAGGCAAATAAATCTTTTTGAAATCTAATCCTTGTTTCGTTCACAGATACCACAAAGCCGTAGACCTATGGAAACGTTATCGAGACGCTGCCGCTGCGGTGCGCGCCTTTGCGGAGTTCCAAGAAGGACGCCTGCACCTTTTACGGCCCGACGATGCCCTGTCCACTTCAAAGGTAAGTGACGCTTGCTGTTAAAACAAATTTTACTTGCACGAAACAATTTACAAGCGAAATACGACGTAAATTTTGGAAATTTCATATACAATTAACTTCTTAACCGACTTCAAAAAAGTTTTTTTATGTTGAAAAGGGGGTACTTCAATAGTGGTCCCGTTCAAATTTGAAGAAAATATTCCCCGTCTAAGGGTGGTAAATTTGGGGATAAAATCGATACCGATTGGATTACACCCACTTTCCATTAACTGATTTGAATATAACTTGGCAAATAGATGTAACTTTTCCACAAAGTTTTAGGGTCGGTTTTGTTTTATAAAAAAAGTTATAAGTTATAATTATTGGTTGGAAAAAAGCAACGTCAGAAGTCACATTTGAAACCGTTTGAATTGTTCGACTTACGTAAAAATTAAATTTAAAAGACTACAATACTTACCTCGTAGTTCGCTTCTACCCTTCTTGATACAGCGTTCCAGGACTAGACTTCACTGCATCCTGTACCTCTACCGTGACTTTACATTGTCAATGTAAATGTTAACAGTTCTTTTTTGTGGCCGCTAAGGCCGCGACACAATTTGCCGTATAACATTATCAAGTATATGACGCTATTGTTAGCCACTATTTAACGCTGTAAATTCGTGGTAAAGTATCTTTATTATAAGTTGACACGGACAGTTGTAACTAGCGATCGTGTAGAATATTTGAATACAACTGTCGTTGTAAATTTTTTGACCGATGCTCAAGAAGATCTTATCACCTTGCGGATGTAAATCAGGCTAAGGTTCAGTCCTATATGGTTTACGATACATACCTTTATTAAGTCTATAAAGCCTGATAAATTCGGAGTCCTGGATTTTGAACAAAAGTTCAATTATTCGGAGAGTACTCTGCTGTTTGACGTAAAAGCAATTCCTATTTTTAAACCATTTTACGTACCTCCACAGAACACTATCAAATAGATAAATTGCATTATATGAATTGTATGCAATTCACAATGTTAATTGTTAATTAAGTGACCTTTTTGCGATTTAAAATACTAATCGTATTAAGATCTAAGATATTAAGACAGTCCTGCTCGACTGTCACCTGTACGTAATAATAATTATTTTTGTGCACACAAGGACAAACAAAAACAAGATAAGAAGCAAAGTAAAATGTAATTTACATTAAGAGGCTTGGTAATATTTTCATGAAAAATATTGATACACAAGAATAATAGTAAAATATCAAATTATTTGCATTATTGCCTTCTTTATTCTTATTTTGACAGTTGGCCTACTAGTATCCAGATCAATATTATTGATATACATTTTAACAAAAATAGCCGGATTTTATTACCTATATTGAATTAAAATGAAACATTTTTAAATACGTCTCCTCTTTGTATTTTTCATAAACATAGTTCTAAATACTCTGTACGTATGTATGAATTTACAACAATTGACAATTCAAATGAACTTATGCTCAGTAATTGGATAAAAAATGGGTCGAGGATAATTCAAATGTAACAAGTTCGGTTATTTATTCCATAAGCGTGACCAATATTCAGTCGATAGTCGGTATAATATTTATCAACTGCAATCACTAGATGCTTGCAAGCGGACAACACTTTTGCACATGAACTGTCATGATTCGCTCTGGACCTTTTGGAGGGAAAAGTGTCGTTTTTATTTCGACTTTCAATTATTTTGTGAAATCTAGTTTAAAGTGGAATAGGATAGTGCTATTGTGCCTTAATCGAAGATTAAAACGCGAAATTATACGAATCTCGAACTAAAATACCCGTATCGGCCCGTTTTAAGGAATCCCGAGTCAATCCAAGCACGCCGCCTCAAATTGCCTACCCTCTTTGTGGCGGCCATATTTACAGAAACATAATTAAACTTCATGTTTAGGCTGATGGCTTTGCCAAAGCCTTAATAAATTAAAAAAAAATGAACTGTCATTTTACTCCGTCTTCAAAAAAGACAGACTATAGTCATTGACTTACAAATAAAGGGACGACGGGTCTAATACAAAAACCACGAAAAAAATGTCCCAAGTCAACCTATTTAAACGTAGTGACATGTAAAGGAATATGAAAAAGCTAAAACGTTGAATTTAAATTGTAATGTCATCGCAGTACTGTCTAATTTTGCTTGCTTCGCTGTCAGTCGAACAAACGAAGACTAAAGCGTGAATGACGCTCTGTGTACGATTTTAACGCCCTATAAGTTCGGACACTTTTTAGCGCGGACTCGACGTCCATATAATTGTAAGTCAATGACTAGAGCGGAGTAATGTCACAATAAATAAATGTATAATTAGCATGGTTGTAAAGCATAGTATTCAATAAAATCAATATTATACTTTCGAATGTTACTTATTTTGAGAAATCAAAAATTACGAAGAGGCAATATCATAAAAATTAATCTTTCATTAAAGAACTTTGAAATTTTAACCGTTAAAATAACAAATCTGCGCTGAGTTTGCACAAAAACACCCAATTTGCGTATTTGCAAGCGAAATTTCGCGGTCAAGTGATGTGCAAATACGTTAACGTTACTTTTACCGTTAAAGAGCATACAAGGTGCTTAAATACGTACATGTACAGATTTTTGTGTATCTTTTTGTCTATCTCCTTATAAGGGGAGCTATTAGGCTATGTTTTATACTAGGCTATTGTTTATAGGGCCTGGGGGTCGATTCAGACCGATTCAATTTGATATTGTACGTTTTCTTTTAATTTTTATTCACAGTACCCGAATCTAACGTCAAACTATCGTATTCGAAACCGAACCGAAAGTCACTCCACGATTACTCGAATTTCTCGACCAGCAAACGCTACAAACATTATTCAGGGGGCCTACTATGAGTTCTTAGAGCAATCCTATTTGAGCCTGTAAGTCGGATTGCCTGTCAAATTCGTACTATGACCTCACAAAAACAATTCACTGTCCAGTTTACGTTCCCCATTCGAAATCCGTTCACCTTTTCTTTCATAGCAAAATCATATCATGACATGCTATTTGCCATGCAAGTGGCGGCCTCATCTGTAAAAATAAGCAAATTCAAAAAAAGTTACTCCGTGACTAACTTCTTTTAGGCTTTGTTACATTTTTAAGAAATTTCATTTAAGTTTTATTATATTTTCAATTTCATAATTATTTGTTATCTTTATAGGATCAAATAAATACTATTAACTATTGAGCGTTTTTTTAAAACTTTTAAATAGTGCCAAATTTTACTATAAATGCAATCAATGAAAATGTAGGAATACAAGATACGTTCCAATTATTTATCTAATTACAAACTCACCTTATTAATTTCAATGATAAAGACTAGGCATGACATGTAATTTTGTCGTACGACAAATGCAAGCATGATTGAAAAGTTGCCGATATTACAAAACAACGTTGTAAGTATAATCAATAATAAAATTAATAAAAAAATGTGTTTATTCTCATTTTCAATACAATCGGTTAATACTGCTTGAACGCTCCCATGACAATACATCTGTCTATTTCTTTCATATGATTTAGTATGTAGTTCCATCTCGCTCTTGTTAGATGTCAGCTAGCCAGCCAGAGACAATAATTACCGTTTAAAAAGTAAAACTCATCCTGTCATGCCATTCCCGTTCAACTTTGTGTAGGTCATGATACGAATTTAAGCAATTCAGTTTTACCACTTCAAGTGAATTGTAAGGAACTTGGCTGGCTGGCTTATAAGCTCATAGTAGGCCCCCTGAACACAGTTATCGAAAATCAGTTACCGAACGTCCTATTGTTTACAAAGCAAGAATTAATATGGACATTTCTTGTTATTTTGAATAAAGTCTGGATTTTGTTCATTCCTATATTTTAGGCCTATAAAGTCTTAAAATGTATATAAAACAATTTTTATTTTTCTTATAATCTTTTTCACCGACTAACTCCGTAAAAGCTGTTGGATAACGATATCGTATACGAATCCGAATGGAACATTTAACTGAATAATGCTTGCCACTGTGGTGAAAGATTTTACCAATCGGCGTACTCGGGGTGCGCCAGATGTAGGTACAAGAAAGGAATGGTACGTCGTGCGAGGAGGCTCTTTTCGTATACCCCAAATAGCGAAGTCAATAACCTATTGTAACTGTAGTTTGGAATAGGGTCCCTCATGCAATCCGTGCCAGATGCTCTGCGAATTAGGCGACGACACGAACCAATAGACCTTACGAATTTTCCTATGTGTTTGTTACAGATCTTAGTTTTTGGTTTTTAACATTGACTTACAAATAAATGGACGACGGGTCTAATACAAAAACCACGAAAAAATGTCCCAAGTCAACCTATTTAAACGTAGTGACATGGAAAGGAATATGAAAAAGCTAAAACGTTGAATTTTAAATTGTAATGTCATCGCAGTACTGTCTAATTTTGCTTGCTTCGCTGTCAGTCGAACAAACGAAGACTTAAGCGTGAATGACGCTCTGTATACGATTTTAACGCCCTATAAGTTCGGACACTTTTTAGCGCGTACCCGACGTCCATATAATTGTAAGTCAATGGTTTTTAACGACATTTTTGCCGTAGAATATAATGTTATAGAATAGAAATAGAAATAGCTCCTTGTGAAAGAGTTCGTCCAGGGCAGTTCTGCCACGTTACTTATTTCTTAATGGGAGCATCACATTTACACATTTAGTAAGGGTGATAATGGTGAAATTACAGGCACACGGGACTTGTCAACTTATGTCTCAGGGTGACGGGCGCAGTGGCAGTGCCCCTCAGATCTTTGGGATTTAAAGCTCTAAGTGACACTGCAACTGCTAAGGACAGGCTGTAGCTTACCATGAGGCGCACGACTTGTCCGTCCCGTCACTTGATATTACACAAAAATAAAATAATTTCCGTTATAATATAATATATATTCAAAAACAACATTAAAGACTAGACGCAAATTAAATTAAGACTGCACCCCGGAACTGTTTGTCAGACATTTACTTACAGATAAATGGACGACGGGTCTAATACAAA